GAAGCGTGGTGACAGTGTCCAAGGAGGAACTCCTGGTGTCACTATTGGTCAGCGTCCAGGCCCAGGCGGCTTCAAAGGAGACATGTTGCAGGTCTGAACCTGTATGCACAATGGAAGTATTCAAACAAGCTTTAAAAAAAAAAAAAAAAAAAAAAAAAAAAAAAAAAAAAGATGCATTTAAAAAATATTTTTGTCACAAATCAAATGTCAGTGTTAAGTGCAGTGTTTCTAGAGTGCAGCCACGCTCTGTGATATAACACTTCAAAAAATAGAACTGCTCATCTATTTGGGCCAGACAGCACTTTTTTCTTAGAAGTCCATTTATTTGGAGGATACTTTTATAGTACCAGCAAGTCCAGTTAGAAAGTTCCATCTGCTCTGCCTCCTATTGCTTCTGGTTTCTTGCCATCTCCACTGGTGTCATCTCAGACAAGACACTACCTGATTTTTTTCTGGATAATAGCGACATCCTATGGGACTCCCTGCAGGTACAGCGGGCCCCCTCCCTTCATCCATTTGTATATGGCTGCCAGGCTCTTCATTTCATATCGTCTGCATAAATCCCTGAGATGCCTTCCCTCTTTTTTCTTTTTTTTTTTTTTTTTTTTTTGTCAGTTAGGGTTTGTTCAGAGCCACAAAACTATTAGGTTGGTGCAAAAGTAATTGCGGTTTTTACCATTACTTTCAATGGCAAAGACTGTGATTACATTAGCACCAACCTAATACTGTGAGTGAAATGAAACAAGGGATGTATGATAAGAATGAGACCTTTTATGGTTGGGGGAGGAGTTGAGAAAGTCAACTGAAAACTGATCCACCAAAACTCAATTTTCTTATTTGACTATTGCTTTATTTTGGGTGGGGGAGGGGGATGGAGTCTCGCTCTGTTGTCCAGGTTAGAGTGCAGTGGCACAATCTTGGCTCACTGCAACCTCCCCCTCCCAGGTTGAAACAATTCTCCTGCCTCAGCCTCCCGAGTAGCTGTGATGACAGGCGCATGCCACCACGCCTGGCTAATTGTTGTATTTTTTACAGAGACGGGGTTTCACCATGCTGGCCAGGCTGGTCTCAAACTCCTGGCCTCAAGTGATCTGCCAGCCTCGACCTCCCAAAGTGTTCGGATTGCAGGCATGAGCCACTGTGCCTGACCTAATTTGACCATTGCATTTAAACTTGTTAGACAAGTACTTTCAGCCAGGTCAAGGGCTGAGTATAACAGAGTCGGGGTGGGAGAAGAGCCTATGTTTATGAAATAAGGACAGTGTATTGCAGTTAAGAGAAGCTCTCCTCATTCACAGGTTAAATAGAGTTCTGGAAAGTCCTACCCTCTGAAATTCAAAATGCTACTGAAAAATATATTCAATCTACATAGACAGAATCATCAAGTATAATGGCAAGGGTGAAATAGCTGTGAGGAACTCTCAGTGAAACTAAACTAAAATTGCCCCCAAACTACCGTCGTGCACACCAAATCTTCAACAATTAGGTGAATTGTCTAGATATTTTATGGAAGTTGATTTATGCATAGATTTTAAAATATGCATATTTTAAACATGCATATTTTAAGTAAGATAAATTCTATTTATCATTTCTGGCTTTCAGCTATGCTGGAGGACTGTCCTCTGATTCTCTTCTCTTGTCCTTTTTTTTTTTTTTTTTGTCTTTAAAGTCTTCTGTTCTTTTTCAGTTCTAGATCCGTCAGAATTAGAAAGGTTGTTCCCCTTAGCTAGGCTGTAATAGTAATTGCAGTCTATCCTCAGTCTCTCAGATTGTTCAGATTTCACATTTGAAGTGCAACAGAACTTTTGACCCATGTGTTTATAGCTCTAGCTACCCACTTTCTCACTAGCTTCTGTGCCGGTGTATGTGATGCTTAAGCTTCTCAGGCATACTCTGGAAAATGCCAGAAGCCTGCTTTGTTTGTTGGTAGTCACTCTGTTTGCACCATTGGGTATAGCTGCTCTCATCGTTCCTTACCTTCCTCCTTGTTCTGTGAACTCTCTTCTCTATGGGGGAAGGCCATGAATACCCCTTGCCTGTATGTTGAGAAGAAAGCAACCTCCAGGCTGAACGCAGACGGAAAAGGGTTCCCTCACTGCACAGGAAGCGTGTATTTGAGATACACACTCCACCCCACTCAAAGACATTCTAGCTTAGAGCAATGTTGGCTACAGTTTGTTCTTTAATTGTTGCTTATCCTTTGAGTGGAGGTTACATTGTGTGTGATCATAGGAAGTGCCAGCCAGTTCTGCCTGAGAGCATTAGAGGAATTTCCCAGAAGGCATGACATTTCTTAAGTGATTTTCTTTTTTTTTTTTCAGAAAGACTCACAGCTTGTGAGCTTGAAACGTACCAACATTGCTCTTTCAAATATACATCAATTAACTATGCAGTTTGGTACTTTTCTAGAAAAAGTGACAGCATTTTATCAATTTAGCTCAGTTTCTGCCCCTCTGTAACTCTCTGGAACACGTCTGTAAGATGGTCAGCCAGAAGGAAAGAAACGGCAAATTAACCCATATGGAAGCTTGCATCTATTATTAATGGTACTGCAATTTCATCAACGGAAGGTGTGAACTGCATACTCCTTGTTCTCAGTAGCAGGGAATAAGACATTGAACAGTAAATTCCTATCCATCATTAATGGAAAATATTGCCCTGTATAGTGCCTGGCAGCTGTATGGTCGTTCTCTGAACGGACACTGCCTGCTTTTCTCCTAGCCACCATTTAAATTGCCTAGCTGATAGAAGCTTGGCTTCCAGAAAGGCACTATCAAGCAAAATCAATGGCCATGTTAGCCACAAGTCCTAAGTTCTGTCCAAAAGTCTAAATCCATCATTTATGCCTTATGAGCCAATATATATCAAACACCTGAGTTCCAGATAATTGCAGTGGCTTGCTATAAATTGGCTTACAATTCTGTCACCCTCTGACCTCTGATGTTGTTTTCACCTTGTCTTACGTGTGTACTATACCCTTCACAGATTTTCCCGTTGTTCCCCCAAATCACCTCCCCTCTCATCAGCCACTTCCTCTGAAAAGAAACAACCTGGGAAATACATGAATAGTTCCTAGAATTCGCAGAACAAAGCTACTATTTGTTGAATATGGGCTGTGCGCCAAACGCATCTACAGGTATTTTTACCTGTGGTACCTAATTTATTTTGATGACAGTCTGTGAAATGTGCTTGGTTATTTTAATTTACAGATGACAGAAATGGAAGTCAAAGAAGGCTTTCAAGGGATATGGGGGAAATGATGACTTCAGAACGTCATTTGAAGGAACAGTTTGAGGGCTTAGAAACACGTGATGCTCCTTTTCTTCAATTCCCAGAGTATGGGATTCAAGTCCTGATTTTGCTCTTGGCCACACAGGAGTTTGCCCTCACTATTTTCAGTAGCTCTCGTTCCTTTATAAACCCTTCATTTAGGAAATGTACTTTAAAAAAATTTTTTTGAGACATAATCTCGCTCCGTTTCCCAGACTGGAGTGCAGTGGTGCGATCTTGGCTCAATGCAACCTCCGCCTCCTGGGTTCAAGCAATTCTTCTGCCTCAGCCTCCCAAGTAGCTAGGATTACAGGCACGCTCCACCATGCTCAGCAAATTTTTGCACTTTTAGTAGAGACGGGGTTTCACCATATTGGCCAGGCTGGTCTCAAACTCCTGGCCTTATGTGATCCTTCCACCTCAGCCTCCCAAAGTGCTGGGATTATAGGCATGAGCCACTGCACCTGGCCATTTAATTTTTAATTTAAACAAATTTTTTAAAAGGAAATGTACTTTTAAAGGAAAGCACTGGAATTGGGGTTCTTGGTGTCACTGATAGACATTGGTGAACACTTAATTTGTGCTACAAATGAAAGCAAATCGAGGATAGTGAGGGCTTTGCTCTTTTTAGAGATAGCCGATTTCAATTTCAGTGAATCACAATCGCTTTCATGATGGCTGAGAATCTTTGCTTTTCAGTATTTTTGAAGTGTGTTTCTGTGTGCCCTAGACAATCAAGCATTCAAAGTGAAGAGGTTCATTTATTTTTGTTATTTCATTATTCAACCTAAGTGTGCTCCTCAGTTGTTTTGGGGAGGCGCATATTCTATGAAGTCATGGGAGTCAGAGATCTTGTCTTTTGTATCTTTATGGCTCTAATTTCTGGCACATAATGGACCTTCAGCAGGAATTTGTTTGCTTGGGTAGTGGATGAACAGTAGAAAGATGAGTTGTGGCCAGGCGCGGTGGCTCACACCTGTAATCCAAGCACTTTGGGAGGCCGAGGCAGGCAGATCACCTGAGGTCAGGAGTTCAAGACCAGCCTGGCCAACATAGGGAAACCCCGTCTCTACTAAAAATACAGAAATTAGCCAGGCTTGGTGGCACATGCCTGTAGTCCCAGCTACTTGGGAGGCTGAGGCAGGAGAATCCCTTGAACCCGGGAGGCAGAGGTGGAGGTTGTAGTGAGCTGAGATCACACCACTACACTCCAACCTGGGCAACAGAGCAGGACAGTCTCTCAAAAAGAAAAAAAAAAAAAAAGGAGGAAAGATCAGTTGCTTCAGGATATTTAATTTAGCTAAAAAGTGACAAATGAAACAGTACTGATACATGGTTAGTTTGGATGTAAGTTATTGATTCTGAATAATTTTTTAAAATTACAATTACTGTTGATTTAGCCAAGAATGCACAGCTATGACTAAGAGATACAATTAAGTTAAAGAAAAATGAACTAAATATCAAAGAATAATTCCAGTAGATAAGGTTAAGACTAACTCAGGCAGAGGACTCCCAGTGGAAGGGGTGGGAGGCAGTGAACACCACACATGTCACTTAGATCTGCAGTGGGGATAGATGCTGACGTCGGCAGGATTGTAAGTGAGATCACATCTCTAGTTTTATTGATTTGCCTTCGTACATGGGTGTATGTTCACAGCCTCCCACCCCTTACGGACAAGAGTTTATGTGTGTGTTAAATTTTCTGATTGTAGTTGTTTGTTTGTTTTTAGAAAAAAAATCCTCCTTTTAGAACATTTCTTGGTGGTACCATCAGAAATGTCCTCCTTAAGTGGAAAAGTCCAAACAGTTTTGGGCCTTGTAGAGCCAAGCAAACTGGGCCGCACCCTGACCCATGAACACTTGGCCATGAGCTTTGAATGCTGTTACTGTCCACCTCCCCCGTGCCAGGAAGCTATTGCCAAAGAACCTATCATGATGAAAAATTTATATTGGATTCAGAAAAACGCCTATTCCCATAAAGAAAACCTTCAGTTGAATCAGGAGACAGAAGCCATAAAGGAAGAATTGTTGTATTTTAAAGCTAATGGTGGAGGGGCTTTGGTGGAAAACACAACCACTGGGATTAACCGAGACACACAGATGTTGAAGAGGCTTGCAGAAGAGACTGGCGTCCATATCATATCCGGAGCCGGGTTTTATGTGGATGCAACTCACTCCTCAGAGACCAGAGCCATGTCAGTGGAGCAGGTAAAAAACCTAAGTTCTTTGACAATATTTGTTCATAAATTCAGGACAGCCAGAACCTTGGAAATGCCCTGGGTTCAGAGGTAGCTGGGCATGCTACAGAAATTTGCTAGCTAGCCAAGACATCTGCCAATTGGGACCCCAATTAGTAATACTATATTTCATAAAGAAAGTGCCAATTTTGCAAGCAAGCCTTGTGGTAAACAAAAAATAAAATAATAATAATAAGTGTCAAGAAAAGAGATCTCAATGCACTGGTCGTTGGAAAATCCAACATGGTAATAGTTAGATTTGTGTATATCGTATCTGTTCTCAGTATTGGCACCACAGTCTATTTGTAAACCTCACTTTTCCATCTTCAGTTATGCTACCTCGATTTCTTTCACCCAGGATTTTATAATAACCAGCAATGAAGATTCACTGTAGGGTGAAACTTGGCAGGCAGAGACTTGGCACATTTGTGAGTATGTTTCACTCTCCTTTCACAAAACAGGAGAGGTGGAAGAAAATTCATTCCCCTGTGTTTTGTCACAATATGGTCTTAAACAAGAATGGGCAGAAGGAAATAAATTGTTTGGGGATAAAAAGAATAAGCTGCAAAACTTTTTTTTGCACATGTATGTGTTCTCTGTCTAAACACACATGTATCTATTTATACATATTTATACATATATGTATATATTCATATGTATCTTCCATTACCTGCATGACAAGCATAGGGTGTCAGCTCAGTCTTTGCAAAAGATCACTTACTCTCTAGAATATTTTGTATTTCAAAATTTTATCTGCATTATTTTCCAACCAGGACTTTATTTTTTAAAATATATTTATGTTATTTAAAGACTATGCTGATGATGAGTATTATACATTCTTCCAACCACTCTTCGTGGTAACTATGCATATGAACCAAAAAGTGCCATAGTAGTATAGTGTGCTGTGAATTTTCTATGCTGTCTATGATAAAAGACTGAATGAATAGGAGAGAATTAAAGCATTTCTTGAAGCCTTGTGCGGTGATGCAAGCCTGTAGTCCTAGCTACTTGGAAGCCTGAGATGGAAGGATCCCTTGATCTCAGGAGCTCAAGTCCAGCCTGAGTAACATAGTAAGACCTCTGCCTCTTTAAAAAAAAAAAAAAAAGAAGAAAGAAAAAGAATGACTTGATACATGGGACATAGATTCGATTCATTGGCGGTCTTTCTATATTCAAGATGCTGCTCCCCAGGTTAAGTTATAGATTTCCTTCACTCTCAATGTACTCTCATTAAGTCACTTTGTCCCCCTCCAGCTTCCTAAAGCTATACATTTCTTGTTAAATAATCACAGTGTGATATTATCTAATCCTGGATTTAGTGTAGCTTGTTGATTTGTGATTTGGCCAGCAAAATGCTTTTTTCATTTATTGATAACTATTGAATACATTTTTAAAAGAATGAATGACTAAATAAATAAATTCATTCACATACTGTGGTGGATCGATTTTGATAAATTTCACAACCTATAAAATATGTTCCTTCTCACTCTTCCTTAGCTTACAGATGTCCTTATGAATGAAATTCTCCATGGAGCTGATGGAACCAGTATTAAGTGTGGGGTTATTGGAGAAATTGGTTGTTCCTGGCCTTTGACTGAGAGTGAAAAAAAGGTTCTCCAGGCCACAGCTCATGCCCAGGCTCAGCTTGGTTGTCCTGTTATTATCCATCCTGGACGGAGCTCCAGGGCACCATTTCAGATTATCCGAATATTGCAAGAAGCAGGTGCAGACATCTCTAAAACAGTCATGTCACATCTGGATAGGTAAGCAGGCTATCTTACAAATGGATGCAAACCACCATATAATTAATACATGATCAAATTAAGAATCTACACTAATCAGTCAATGTAATACTAATCACGTAGAGAAAACCACTAACTATATGGAAGGTAGTATTTATAAAGTTTTACAACTGACATTAATAGAAGTCAGTGCTGCCATTTTTGTGTCTCTCTGTGTCAGATAGTATCCTAGGTATTTTGCCTAAGGCATTTTGCGTAAGTCATTTTGTTTAATTTATTCAATCCTTTATAACTCATAATAGGTGTCACCGTCTCCTTCATTTCTTTGTCTCATGGGATGATATCAAAGTAGCTGCCAATTCCACTTGCTCAGTGTTTACTAGTAGTTGGAGTAATAAAGTTGTCACAAATATAAAGGGAGGGAAAGTCAATGATTTCACCCAGAGAAGAAAACCACAAATACAAATGTTCACATTTGTGCCACTTGTGGTTTGAATCATCTGAATTTTGGAAAATGCAATTATAAAAAATAATAGTAATAAGCATAGCATGTGTTGGGTGGTATTATGTATTAGTTTCCTATTGCTGTTGTAACAAATTATAACAAACTGGGTGCCCCTAAACAACAGAAATTTCGTCTCTCAAAGTTCTGGAGGCCAGAAGTCTGAAATGAAACATTGTCGGGGCCCTGCTTCCTCCAAAGGCTGCAGGGAGAATCTCTCCTTGCTTCTTCCGTAGCCTGAGATCCAGCTGTTCCGTGGTTTGTGGCTGCATAACTACAGTTTTTGCCTCTGTCTTCGCATAGCCTTTTCCTCACTGTCTATGTCTTCTCCTCTGTTACAACAACAGTTGCCATTGGATTTATGGCCCATCCAGTTAATTCAGAATGATCTCATCTCAGATCATTTACTTAATTATATCTGCAAAGACCTTTTCCCCAAATAAGGTCACTTTCAGAGGTTCTAAGAGTTAGAATGTGGACTTGTTAGAGTTCACCATTTAATCCCTACATATTATTTTGGATGCATAGGGGACAGTAAAGCAAATGACTAAATGAAGAAATACCAGCTGCTGTTAATTTTATGAACAAGTCTAACAGTGTTGCTAAGGCTACTCATTAGCCTTAAATTGAATTTATTACAGAATTAATACAGCACCAGTGAGACTAATAATATATTACAGGTACTTGTATCTTGCCTATTGGAGTAAAGCCATATTCACATATTGATAAATCCTGATTATCAGACTGGACACATTGCTACTTAATAAACTAACAGTCCTACAAAATGTATTGATAAAATGCCTCTCCTTATGAGGCTGCAGTGAACCATGATCACACCACTACATTCCAGCCTAGGCAACAGAGCAAGACCCTGTTTCAAGGAAAAAAAAAAAAAAATTCTTCTCCTTAATAAAAAATATTGTAAAATCAAGTACAGGAAATATAAACAGGTGCAGTTATAGCAGAACAGAGAAGTCAGCATTAATGGGGAAACTGAGGCACAATAGGATAAAGGCAATTCTCCTGGCAACTGGGTTGTTATCAAGATCCATACTTGGCTATCTTCAGGAATCTTCTGGTTGCACTGATAAGATAGAGGCGGGCTTCTGTAATGGTCACAGGGGCAATGCGTCCGGCTGTGAAAACTAGACTCTTTGGACCCAGTGAGAACTTTAAATTCTGACTCTCACTGGTGTAAGATCTTGGACAGCTTAATTGAATTTAAAACAATGTATTTTATAATGTTGCCTTGTATGATATGGGATATATGTAGCACATTTATTCAGTAAGGATAATACTTTTTAAACATTGTAAAGTATGTCATACCTTCAAAAATGTATTACGCTAATAATTTTAAATTTTATAAAATGTTTTAGATTCTTAAAAGCATTGTGTTCTGCAGTTATTACACAGTATAAGTGTTCTATGTGTCTATTAGAACATAATTGTTTATCATGTTGTTCAAGTATTCTGCATTTCTACTAATTTAAATGTGTGTGTGTGTGTGTGTGTGTGTGTGTGTGTGTGTGTGTATGGAGAGAGAGAGAGAAAGAGAGAGAGAGAGAGTCTCTCTCTCTGTTGCCCAGGCTGGAGTGCAGTGGCATGATTTTGGCTCACTGCAGCCTCCACCTCCCAAGTTCAAGTGATCCTCCCACTTCAGCCTCCCAAGAAGCTGGGACTACAGGCATGTGCCTCCACACCTGGCTAATTTTTATATTTTTTGTAGAGATGGGTTCTTTCCCTGTTGCCCAGGCTGGTCTCAAACTCCTGAGCTCAAGCAAGTCACTCACCTTGGCCTCCCAAAGTTCTGGGACTATAGGCATGAGCCATTTTACCTGGTCACAAATTTCTTTTAATTGCATGCTTGGCATTCCTTGGGATTCCTGAATGTAAGGATATATCTTTCATTGTTTCTGAAAAGCCTCGGCCATTATCTCTTTAAATATTGTTTCACTCACATGTTGTTTATCATCTGTATCACAAACTCCAGTTTGGTATATGTAGGGCTTTCTTACCTGTACTCTGTATCTCTTAACATCTCTTTGATATTTCCATCCACATGCATCACTGAGCTGTAATGTCTTCAGTTCGATTTTCTTATTTACTACTTCTCTTTTCAACAGAATCAATCTGTTGCTTAGCCAATTTATTTGGTTTATAATATTGAGAACTGTATAGTTTTTTCTGTTATCTACTACGTTCTGGTTGGTTACTTTTCAAATCTGCTTGGTTAATTTTGATAATTTATTTTCCTTTCAACATGATTTCAATTCAACCTTTAAAAAAATTAAGCATACAATGTATAACTTGTAATTGACGTATCTAATTTCTGCTGCCTTTTTTTACTCTGATGTAGTTTACTAGTTCTTCTGGCTGTCATTGGTATGAGGTTATTTCCTTATGTTTTAGAGTAGAATTTTTTGTTGTGAGATCAGACTTCTTGGAAATTATTATGAGTGTTAAATTGGTTTCCCCTTACCCTTGTTTTTTTTTTTTTGGTTATTTATTTTTTATTTCTGGTAGGCAGTTGTGGCACTACCTACGTGGGAAACTTTATACTAAATTTTTTAATTGTGGTAAAATGTGCATAACATTAAATGTATCATCTTTTAAACATTTTGAAATGTACAGTTCAGTAATGTTGAATGTATCACTCCCCATGGCCTGTGGCAAACGCCATTCTACTTTCTGTCTCTGTGAATTTGACTACTCTAGGTACCTCATGTAGATGGAATCACATAACGCTTTTTGTGACTTTGTAAACTAAATTTTAGACTTGAGAGACTTAGACCCACATAGGTGCTATGAATTCTGACCCCTCAGCTCGGCAAGTGCAGGAGTGGGGCTGTGGATTCTCAAGGGAGACTTTTTCTCAACTTACCTTCCTTTGACTAGAAGCCAAGACTGAGAAAGATATATACAGATACCCCTTGACTTATAATGGGTTATGTTCCAATAAAGCCATGGTAAGTCAAAAATATTGTAAGCTGAAAGTGCATTTAATACACCTAACCTACTGAACACCACAGCTTAAGGTAGACTACCTTAAACATGCTCAGAACACTTATATTAGCCTACAGTTCTGCAGAATCATCTAACGCAAAGACTATTTTGTAATAAGGTGTTGAACAGCTCATGTAATTTATTGAATACTATACTGAAAGTGGAAAACAGAATGTTTCTCTGGGTACTTGAAGTACGGTTTCTAGTGAATGTGTATTGCATTCACGCCATTGTAAAGTCCAAAAAGCATTAAGGCAAACTAACCAGGAACCATCTGTAATCTCCAAAAACTGTTTGTGAACCAAGTTTTTACCTGCTTCATCCTCAAGGGTGTGTTGCCTTCCATACAAAGGGAGTAGCCCTTTATACGTCTCCAATCTGATCTCCCACTTGGTTCAAGTTCAAACTCTGTCTTACTTGGCTCATTAATACCTTTTAGGCAAATGCTAGCTCTAGGTCTCACCTTATTCCTCATTTTCTCAGCTCTCTTGTTGTCTCTGTCCCTCGAGCAAGTAAGTGTTACCTTCCCACCAGCTAAACCAAGCATTTCAAAATAGGGTGGTTTTTTTTTCCCTCTCTTCAATATAATGTAGTATTTTACATGCATTCTGCTGGAAAGGTTTTCTGTGAACATCTAGTCTGCCATACTGCTTGAAACTGGCTCAAGATGATTCGTAAAGAAGAATCTTTCTATCTCCATCTATTTACAGTTAGACATGTATGTAAGTTAGAAAATTATGCTTGGCACAAATAGAAAACAAGCTTTCATTGGAAAATGTGAAATAAACCTTTGCTTCTACCACAGTAGTATTTCTCTGCTCATAAAATCAAACAATATATAAATTGCAAATGTTTTCTTTATTGCCTAGTGATATACATATATGTATACACTACACCTATATATACACATATGTATATATTTATATATATACACACACACACGTATTTTTTTTCTGTTAAACAATAAAGATACATTACCAGATTTCCATTTGGTTGCAGTTTCAATATATCTCTCTAGTATGACTCAGAATAGAAAGATTGACCTGACATCAGACAAACTCAGAACATTCTAGAAAATTCTGAGACCATCGCTAGAGCAGCCATCCATTCCGTACCTATCTGATGGATTATTCAGGGTTCCAGTGCATGAAAAAGACATACATGAAAGTATGAGCATTTCAGTAGGGAGGCAGCTAGGGAACATGACTTTAGAAGAAGCAGTGCATTTGGAAAAGCATACCGAATAAAGTAACAGAAAAAAATAATCAGGGAGGCAGATGCAGGCATCGTTAGCTCTTTGAAGTGGCTGTTCACAGCAAGACAGTGGCCATGCTGAAGTCTGACTGGGTCAGCCTCTCACAGACTCTCTGAGGTCTGCAGGGCTGTGCATACAATCTGAGCCGTACTGAAAGGCCAAGGACTTCAGCTTTCTGTAATGGGGACAAATCACAAAGGGCATGTATTTCATGCAATGAAATGCACAGAAGCCTCACAAAACAGACGCGCATCCCCAAAA